CGTATTAATGAGCTCAAACCCAGCCTCCGGGTAAGCGTGGTACCTACTTACGGGCCCGTGAAGGTTTCTTTCGGGTAAGTTGCTAATTCGGGAACATGAGAAGCTAGAAGACTAGAATTTTGAAGGGATGTTTCCTGACAGCTCTGGCGTCCTGTCTGAAATTCTTTTAGCTAGAAGCATCTGCCAAAGAAACCAGTACCGTTAGCGACAAAAATTTGCGGAGAGCTATGTAAAGAACGCAACTTCGCACGGCAGCCCGTGCGTCGGCCAGTTATTATTTATTTATTGTCTGTAACATCAATTCATGTTTGGACCATAGATGTGAGACAGGATGCAGCAGTAACTGAAAATTTGTCGCTGTAAAAAAGTAGACTGATACAGAGAGAATCTATATTGTCACTATTTCAACTTTTCTTGCGTTTTTGCTGTACAGCGCCATAGCGTTGCTACAGTGACCAAAAACGCACATTGTTAAGAGGTCGCTATGATGTGTTCGGAAGCAAGTGAGCTTTGTCAGCCATTTTCAACTCAGCAGCCAGGATGGCCAGGACATAATCCTACCGCACGTGTCATCCCTCCCCCAGATCGTCCCTCATACGCACTTATATCTCAAGCACGGACCCCTAAAGAAATATGCAGATTTCTTTGGCGGGAACGATTTTGAAAACTGAAAATTTGCAGGGATATTCTATGTACTTGAGTGAGCTAAAGATTTCAAATTCATCCACTGCGGATGCTTATGCAGCGCGTACGGTTACGTCAAAGTTTGCATTTGGCGCTGCGTTAACTCGAAAACTATCAGGAAAATATGGCTGAAATTTTGTCGGAATATTTATCATCCATATGGGGAATCGTATGCCTAAACTGAATTCCGGTTTGCATTTGCGCCACGACTTAGGGCACTTCAAAAATATTTGTAGCGAAGTGGCTATTTCGCTTACTGGATAAAGTGCGAGGCTGAAGCTTCGCTGGAACATTCTTCTTTCATGTGTATTCTCAAATGTGCCTGAAGGGAAATTTCCTGCAGGTGGCTACGAGAAGTACTCAACTCTACCGCAAGCTCTAAAACGAGTGCGTTTCGCAGATTTCATAATCCTCTTTTGACTTCCTTCAAATTCGCATTTTTTATGTTTTTTGCGCTGTGTAACAGCAGTACAAAACGCATATTGTTACGGGGTTGTCTGTATGTGTTTGCGTGTGTGTGTGTGTA